ATATATATATATATATATATATATATATATATATATATATATATATATATATATATATATATATATATATATATAATATATAATATATATATATATAACAGCACGTACAATAAACCCTTCGCAGGTGGTCTTAAAGCACTTTGTATAACATAACTGCATGGAGGGCATAAAAATGCTGTTTGTCTTACTCGTTTGTTTACAAATTCCACAGCTCTCTATGCAGTCCAGTCACTTATGTTCAAAAATATTTTCACCAAAACAACCGCCAACTGCTTTCGCCCTCGGCCAAAAAAAGCATCTGCGTATAATAAGCCCGAAAATTCCATACCGATGATGTCAATGCACTTTGGATCCGGATGTCGCTACCTATTGGCTAGTTTATAATTATTGGATAAAATTAATTACTAGAGACTAAGTAACATGTCAACAAATTCCACGTCACCGTGAGCAATCACGCTTGATAATTTCGAAAAGGAAAATGTCTCTCTAAGCTATAGCAACATTTTAAAAACAGCATAGCAGCGTACCGCTTCATCACACTCCTTGCTTGCCATTTAAGCCTTTCAAAATGAATGTGCGTATTGTTGCTTTTTTGTATGGATTTTTTATCTGTTGCATGCTGCAATTGACAAACAACTAGAACACACAAACACAACAACCTCGCATTACAAAATAGTATGATGAGCCTTTAAGTACAAAGGACACATATAAATGGTAGGTACCAGGTCTCTAATTAACATCGCATTGCTGTCTGAAACCGAAGTAAAGGAGCATAATACTACAATCTGCAGACATGCCAGTTTCGGCGTCCTATACGCCTCGTCATGCAATGCAGCTTGGTACACATGTATAGACACGCGATGACTTTCGTATTGATATAGGCCTAGATACAGCTTGCTTTCACAAGTGCAAGCCCATGTGATACAGCGTGGGCCATCAACGCATCCAGACATGCGTGGAGTGTCATGGGGTCATAGTGCTAAAAAAGAACACCGAATTCACTCCATTCACAGAGTGCTCTATACAACACAGAAGTGCAGGAGCGCAGTAGCACAATCTTGCAGACATGGATGTTTCGGCGTCCTTCGCTTCATCAGTGCAGCTTGGTTCACATGCATCTAGACACGCGATGACTTTGTCGGTATTGATATATACAACTTTCCCTCACAAGCGCATGTGATATACAGCATGGGCCATCAATGCGTAAGGTGTCATAGTTCCAGAGTGTTCAAACAACCACAAGGGAAGTGAGCTTTGCATTATTGCTAAACAGTAATCAGTATAAATAAATTTCTAGTGCTGTTCACTATCTGGGCCTAAAACTGATAATAAAGGATCTGCCTTGCATAGGTATTTCGCGGATTTGTGCTCGCGCGCGGGTGTCCCTCTTTCTTCCCGCTTTTTATATAGTTAGATATAATTCTATATAAGTAGAACTATACTTTCTTTCAAAAGCAACAAGCTTTACTTTCGAAAGATGTAGATAATTTTTCTGCTTCTAGTCATTCAGTGTTATGTATCTTGTTAGGATACTAATTAGTATTATGGTTCCTCACATAATAATCACTTAGATATATACCTAAACCAAATCTTTTAGGCACTTAAACAATGTTTTCATCATTTGCTTGAAATGCCGAGCATACAACCACGGCTCAATACTCACAAAGAAGTTTGACAATAAGTCAAGTCATTGTGAGAACACCAACATGCCACGCTCGTAGGTACTCGTAGAAGTATATGCATGATAAATACATTTTAGTTCCAATAAGTGCCTAAATGATTTGGTTCCAGTTTGTCTAAGTGATTATTTTGTTAACAGATGAACGAAGAACAAAATAATAAACAATAGAAGATATAAATAATATAATAATATAATTAAAGGTTGTAATAATATAATAATAATAATGTTACCTATTATATTCACCTTTGCAAAAACGTTCCATTCTTATACACAGAATCCTTATTTTGAATCGGTTTTTTTCTATTTCGAATCCGGGTTTTTACAAAGACTAACAAAGAAGTATGCCGAGTAAAATGTGTTGTATGACACACCTAACGTACTAATAACACGTTTTTGTGTGTTTTGCAGCACACTTATTTTTAATAGTCTTTCGTAGGATATATTGCTCATAAAATAATGTGCTACCGAGATAGCTATACCGACATGTACACTGCATGAACAAAATTTTATATGATTTTAGTATCCCGATAGATACTATAATAATAACTATGGCTGCTCTTAGTGAACTAACAGTCTTCAGCTTAGTTTAAATTTATAATGTGAGCAGCTCTGACGTTGACTATCACGCACGCATGAAGCAAGATTTAGGCTACAAGACTAGCTTATTACTTAAACAAATATAATTAAATAAGTACTTACAAACAGAGACTCGTGTTCATCGTCAAAGAAAGGAAATGGAAATCCAATATTCACACGACCAGAACTACCATCATCATTAGTCGGTACCGAGTTATCTCCATTCTCAGGTCCATAAGGATAGAAATCTTTAAGTTCTATACGCATATAAACAACTTGGAAAACATTGAGAAAAACAGTAGCTAGAACAAGAAACTTCATTGCTGTTCTCGATCTGACCATATTTACATGCAGGGAGTAATTAAATCTCTTCTTGGAAGTAATCAGCATATGAATAGGAGAAATAGAAATGGATTTGCATTTGACTGCATATTTTCCAGCAATGAGAGTTAGCCATTGAATGAACTCAGCGGGTTCTAAATTCATTGCACGAATCAGTTGAATAACGATAAATGCAGCACAATTTTTTAATTTCGTGCAAAACATCACGTTAGCATATCTTTTAATCGGTAAACCTGACAAAAGCCGTGCAACTGTTTAAGAAGCGAAAGCGATGCCGAATTATAATAAGTACGTCGCTTTCCAGAAAGTACTACATTGGTAAATTTGTTTAGACTAGCTTGAACCATAATTGTACAGGGACACAGTTTGAATGCCGTGAGTGCCAGGATTTGAATGCAATGAAACATGACCTAGTTCGATCTCAACGATGAGTCAAACCATTTCATTTGGGCGGACAATCGCATGTACAAACCAAAATATCTCATAAACGCAATGCTGTATCGATACAAAATTTCATGTCGCTTTTTGTTAGTATCATTGAAATAAATATAGCTAGAACCATAGCCTATCGAAGAGAAGATGGTTGTGAAACTCATTAGAATAACAATATAACTCATTATCTATGTTAGTCAACGTTGATTCATAAATCTGGTCGTGTATTGTATTTCTACCAAATCCACCAATAGCAATTTCCAGTTTCTCTATTATATACATGTATTAATTTAAACGCAGTACTTTATTACGCATGCGTGTTGATTTTCTATTTGAGAAATACATGCATGCAGCAACCCCTTGCCTGTACTTTCCAAACATTGATTTAACATGAAGTATTAATAATTGATCAACACTGAACGCAGGCTTGCGTTTACGTCATGACAAAACGATAATTTTATTTTTATTATATATTTTTGTACAACACGCCAAAAGTAGTAAACTAATATAAAGCTTCATTAAAAAGGAAAGCAGTGCATGTTTTACGCAATAAATTAAAGTAACAAAATTCATAAACATTAAACATATTCAAATTCATAAACATTAAACATATTTTCCACTGTAATTCAATTCTTCTCATTTCTTTAAACAAAAAATTGCTTCAAAGCTCATTGTGTGAAACGTGATTTTCCAAATATATGCTTTTGAAAATTGAAATCTTGTTTATCCCACTCCTGGCAAACAGCCATATTTTTGAGATCAGTGAGGATGACCACCCACGGTTGGTGACTGACGCCCAAGATCATTGATGAACTTTAGACTTGGCTAATGCTTCCTTTTTCCCTGGTGTAAATAACCGGGGGGAAATAAGACCCTCGCCCCGGGCTGACCCCGGAGCGCCGTTGGCTCGAGGATTATCAAAGTTTCTTGGCATGACCACTTACAGTAGGAATTTTCTATAGGTATATTTTAAGCTGGAAGGATTTATGATTATAAGAAACGTTATAGGGAACTGAACATAGGTGCATTTTGTCTGCGCATGCGCGAGAATCGTTCTGTGCGATTGCAAATGGCGGACTTGTTAGGGGGTTGTGAGTTTTGTCATGTTTTTTATGAAAAATAGTAAAATATGGATTGAATTTTCGTTCGATCTCTCAGAATTCGTGTTAATTCTACGCAGGTAAGGGTATTAGTTTTATTACAGTTTAATTTTCTCCAAAATTCATGATTTTCGTTTAAATTTTCGTCATTTGCTCAAACGCGATGCTTGCATTTATAGACCCCATTTGTATAATCAATTAAGCTTAAATATATATGTAGGTTTCTCGCTCGTTTGGGCGTGTTTTCTTGTTTTAAATAGATTTATAATCTTTCTATGCTTGGATATTCTTCAATAGTATGAGTAATTAATGAAAATAATAAAAATCTACTGCCATAATTTTGGGATCAATTATATGGCTGTGTGCATTTGGTTGAATAGAGGTCTTGTACTAAACCCTTTATACCGTTGCTTTAGGTTGAAATTTTCCAAAATAATATATTCTCCTGTCAAATTTTTTTTGCTACTTTCTCATACAGGTTGTATTACCGAAATCAGTAGAGTGTCTTTTCCGGAAGTTGAAAAGACAGTCGAAAGCCAGTAGAAACGTTCATGTTTTATGACGTCACGGTGAAGGAATGCAGCGTGGAACTTGTAAGTTATTTTACTTATTAGTAAACTTTATTAAGTGCCTTCCCACGAATAAAGATTCTCCCTAGTGTGAGGCGTTTCTACAAAAACCCGAAAACCGACCAAAAAACCCCGAAAACCCGAGTGAACCGGGTTTTTTTTTTAAAATATGTTTGAAAATCGAAACTACGGTTTAAAAAAGACACAACACGCTATATGAATATCTTAAACCTGTCTTCGCAGACGTCCGCCTTTATTACCAGCGAATCAAAATTCACCATCGTTTGATCCGCTTATCCGTTCAAGACCTCAAGCTCGCGAGAAATTGTAGAATGATATTAAACGTAAGGCATATTGTAAACACTGGACTGGACTTTGGACTTTGGACTATGGACTTTGGACTTTGGACTTTCGATTTTGAAATTATATTTTTAAAATATTCGTATAATTATATTAATTAAAATCTAAACAGAGAACGAAAATTTGTGCATGATACAATATTCAAGGTAAAAAATACTGTCAGTTATATAGGTATACCAGTGCAATTTCATAGATATAGCCTGTGGGATAACAGGATCATCTCGGTAATATTTTTAAGTTAATATTTAAATTTTATTATAATATTTGTATTTATAGTATGTATAGTACAGTTTATACTGCAGAACTTCTTCTTATCGTATATATAATAGATTTATAGAAACAATTGCGACAACAGTAGCTTGGCAAATACAAAATATTGAGAAACTATCACGTATAAGTATAAACTACACGCGATTATTATTGCGCCTTTGGCTTTGAACAATTATTCGCCGAAGGCGAGGCCGTGATTATCCGGGAATTTGTAGTCTCCCTCGCAGCCGCCAGTTGTGTACGTTCTCTCTGATGTCTGCGAAGGAGGCTAGGGAATTCAATCAACTTGACAACTTGTAGGATTTGTTGTACTATTTATTCACTTGCGCAAAAATACTAATGACGGTATTGTTCATCTTTGCATAATAGTTTACACCGGTTTAGCGCCTGGTTCATCACTTGCAAGTGGTAGTATTACTGGTTCATCACTTGCAAGTGGTAGTATTACTGAGTAAACGTGGCAAATAGTTGCTAGACTACCTGAAGCACATAGACATAGATTTTTGCCTTCTCACACACAACTGAGTAGGTCTTAAAAAGTGTGTAAATTTCCGTTAGTCGAATATTCCTGTCAATCTACTAACACTTAATTATTAATAATAACTGAAGCACTTATAGTCTTAATTATAGTGATAAGGATAGCTAACTAGAATGTCTTTCAAAAATAAGTAACATTAACAAAACGTTACTGTGTAACGGAGTAAACAATTACACAATACATTACTAGTATAAACTATTATGCAAAGATGAACAGTCACAATACTCAATACTCAATAGGCGCGATAATAATCACTTGTATAGTTAATATTTTGTATTTGCCGAGACACTTTTGTCACAATTGTTTCTGACAATTAATCTATTATCTATATGATAAAGAAGAAGTTCTGCAGTATACACTGTACTATGCATACTATAAATACAAATATTATATAAAATTTAAATATTAAATCCCAAAATATTGGATAATCCTGCTGCCCTACAGGCTATATCCGTATGAAATTGCACTGCTGGTATACCTATATAACTGATACTAGAGATTTTTTACCTTGTATATTATTATATCATGCATGTGCATGCAGTGTAGCGCCCTTTTCAGCAGCAAATTTTCGTTCTCTGTTTAGATTTTAATATAATTATACGAAAATCTAAAAAATAATATAATTTCAAAATCGAAAGTCCAAAGTCCAAAGTCCAGTCCAAAGTCCAGTCCAGTGTTTACAATATGCCATTAAACGTAAGGTATTTTGAAGATGTTATCAAATTTTAAACAAAATCTCTTTAGTTTTCGTGTGTAAATGCCAAAGTTGATTCATTTGCAACAGACCCGTATAAGTATGGTTCGATTTCGGTTTTCCTCCGGTTTTTTCGGTTTTCCGGTCTTTCTCCAAAAGTAACATCGAGTAATTCGGTTTTCAAAAAACATCGGTTTTACCGCCTCACCCTAGAACTTCTCCCTTTGCTCAAAAGCTTGTTTTGTGTTTGGCGAGCCATTGGCAATTTGTCAAACTAAATAAAGTTTACTAATAAGTAAAATAACTTACAAGTTCCACGCTACATTCCTTCACCGTGACGTCATAAAACATGAACGTTTCTACTGGCTTTCGACTGTCTTTTCAACTTCCGGAAAAGACACTCTACTGATTTCGGTAATATTAAGTGTCAGTGTAACGTATTCCCTGATCACTGTGTATTGGGTTGTAGACAATAATCTCTGCGATCGCCTTTTGGACGATGTTTATTTACGTTTCGTTAGAGCATGCGCATGAGAGCTAAGATGGCGTGCGAAGCAAAAACAGTGTTTTACCTAAATCTACTAAACTAAATCTATTATTTTGTATTTTTTTATATATTTTGATAATTAAAGTGAGTTGAAACCTGTTTTTCGCCTCATTCACTGGCAATCCCAGTACAGTAAAACACTAACGTTCGTTGTGGCATTCCAGAATTGTGAAGAACCCTAAATACAAAGGAGTTTTGCAGCCCAAAACTTGTGTATTGCTTGAAGACAAATCCAGGAATCAGCCATGAATGTTGTAGATAAAAAACAAGAAAGAAGCAAGCCAGCAAGGCTAAATTGGCGGTCACTGTCGCTGCGAGGAGTCTGATCGGAGCCTACAACAGAGATTGTGAATATGATATTTTAAAGGATTCAATGTTCGAACTTGAAAAGGTATTTGATGATTTTTGCGTTATAAATGAGGAATACGAACTTATTGTATCTGACGAAAAATATGCTGAACACCGTGTAGTTAATGATGAAGACATTAGGACTTACAGAGACAATGTAAAAAGGTGCTATGAAGAAGCTAGGAGTGTATTTGTTAGTGTAAAGACAACAATCGAACAAAAAGCTAGACAACAAAGTGCTGGGCCTGTCAAAGTTGCCCTAAAGAATGACATTTGTAGAATTCATGAACTAATCACAGTCGTTGATGAGAGTTTTAAACTGGATAATGTGAATATGGCAGCTTTACAACCAGATAAGAGTGATCTACAGTCAATTTTGAACATAATATGTGCTAACATGGCAAAACTTGGCTCGATTGAAACACAAGAGGATGTTAACCTAATCCAAGAAGAAGTCGATGCTATTATCAGAGCAGTTTACAATTGCATCGTAAAGATAAACTTGTTTTCGCATGAGCAACAAGCATCTGTTAAATCATTACACATTGAAAATGCCACTCTCTCCCCTGAAACCAACACCCCCCTGAGAACACTGAGACCATCAACACCGTGTTCCCCCGGAGATCAACACCAACCCCCCCC